AACCCGCGACCCTCAGATTGTGAGTCGAGCGCCTTATCCACCTGGCCATGCCGGGCCCTATGTTATGTGAGTTTAACGCTGTTTTCTTTAAGACAATAATTCAGATTGAGACACACAATCTCACAAGATTTATCCTCGCAGGTAGACAGGAGTATGCGTATGTGTGTTTGTTTGTGTGTGTGTGTGTTTGTCAGCAAGATTTCTCAAAAACGGCTGAATGGATTTGGACGAAAGCTGATATACAATTGGACTATGACCGAACTTAGATTTAGTCAGCCTTTGGAGGGTCAAGATCACGAAAAAAAATCCCTATCTGTTAATATGGGGACCAATTTTTTACACTATTTTTATATTATAACTCAGTCAATTTTTTACACTATTTTTGCCCTATAACTCAGTCAAGAATGATCGAATTTCGATGGAACTTGGTGGACTTATGTAGAATATTATTCCTCATTCTCATGCCAAAAATAGTTAATAACGTCGGACATACGAACACATTTTCGCATTTTTTGATAACCGAATATGATGAACATTGCATAGACGAGGTATGCGCTCTATTGAGTGCCCCTCTAGTTGGCAATATATTTGTATAGCTTTTACCTTAGCTATAAGGGAAAGCCTTGTCAAGTGTTTAGGTAATTTTGGCTTTGTATTAAGCACGAATAACTACCCTACAAAGCTAAGTAGTATTAAAAATGCAAAATCAAGCTTATATCTATTTATACTGCGAGTGACATCATACAGTTAAAATGGTTGAAATATCACTTAGTGGTTAACCAAGTTTTTATTCAAAGTTTTATTTGAGTTTCTATTATTAAACCATTTGGTTTGTAACATCTATGAAGTGTTGAAATTCTTTGTAGGAAATAAACGTGATGGATCAAAACGTGTACATGTGACAGGCATTGCCTGTAAGAGTTTCTGTGCAGTATAGGTATAATACATATACTTGTTTACCCAAGAGTTCCGGACGAATTGCAGTAAATGAGAGCTAATTTGGACATCTGCAAAACATTAATCTAGCCGGGTTATAGCAGGTGGAGGAAATGTTTTATTTCAGCCGACTTTCATTTCTTAGTTATGCGTATTGAACGATTACACGCTGTGTATTAAACGTACTTGGAATATTCTGTACTTCTAAGTAAGGTTTTCGCGATTCCTTTATGCCGAAGTTAAAGTCTTGCATTAAAGGTAAGTTTTAAAAGATTCTTGTATCTTTAAAAATGTACTTGCACGTGTGTATTTATGACATCTCAAACATGCCCTGTCTATCCTTTTTTGAAACGAAAATTAACAAAGATTGTCTAAGCGGAGGATATTGAAGTTCAAAACGCTGAGCTACAAAAACGTGATTAATGGATTCAGAGAATGAAAATTTTTATATCCTATTATGCCCTCCAGCGTCACATCAATATGACTGCGAACTTACAACGCTATAAACCGGGTTTCGATACCCGTGGTGGGCAGAGCACAGATAACCCATTGTGTAGCTTTGTGCTTAATTACAAACAAACAATACTCTATTACAGGTTCATATCGTACTATAGATGACTAGTTTTAACTTCTGTAACAATGTAGTTTGTACACTAACTTGCGTTCGTCCCTAAATATTTTAAAGAAACGCCTCTCTCTCTCTCTATATATATATATTGATATTCAAACCTACACTTATCAGACTGAACATTCTTAATATTTAATGGGCAGAGTCACTAGTCCTTTGTTCAGTTGTATGTGAAGCTTTTGATATATGAAAAGCCTGCATTTTATGTAAACATATCACACCTTTTCAATAAGGGCTAGATAACTGCATTATTTTATTACATTGTTAAATACTTTTCTTTTTGCCCCCAGCATCATAGCGGTAGGTCTGCGGCCTTAAAACGCTAGAATCCTGGTTTCGATATCTGTGGTGGGCAGACCACTGTGCTTAATTTGTGCTTAATTACAAACAAACTTTTAGACGATACTGACAGATCGGACTATTAAATGCATATTTGAAACAAATGGATTTCGATTACTTTCTCTTTTAAAGTAAAAAACAAAATAGGAGTATTGAAGGGATTTTTCGTTGCACCATTGCATCTTCTGATAGCACTCAAAAAAAGAGTTCAAGCCTTAGAATATCGAATCAACATAAAATTCATTAATGCTTTTAATAAATTGCAAACAATTTTATTTGTTTATCTCACTTAAAATTTTTATTCTATATTTTACCTTGTTACTGTGGTTCATTTACTTGTTTTTCTTTATTACATTTTATTAGGAAGATGCACTGAGCGTATACGCTACCAAAACTATTTTTATAAGCTATATTTGTGATATGTGGGCGTATCACGTTTTCATTATTTTTTAACTTATACGTTTCTACATTTTCGTTTGGTTTATTTCTGTACAGTTTTGACATAAACACGTGGTTCTGAATATCATTGAAATAGTTTCTTTCTACTTGCCTTTGTGCGTTTGTTCTCTGTAGCAGAGAACATCTACTCTGCTCAGGGGAATATTACAATCATGTAATACATTCATTTTTAAAATGTCAATGACTGTGTCGTCCTTTGCTGGCCGAGTGTATGATATTTGTCTGTTACAGCTGATAAATGTTTAAAGAGAATGAACAGCCACTTGGTGACTCTATATTAAGAGAAAATATAACAGGTTTATAGCTAGATTGGAACCTATATCGGGTTCTTAGCGTATTTGTTTATTGATGTTAATAGTTCAACAAAGTTCCTTCTCGAGGGAAGAAAGCTGTTGATTATCAATTCAAATGTCCAGTAAGGGCAATAATTTTTCAGTATCTTATTCAAGTACACACACATTGCTTTAATATGTTTAAAATGCTTTAAATATCGTTAATAAAGATTGTTTTCACTTTTCTTGAAATGTGTCCAACCAGTTTATTTCTCACACAGTTTAAAACGCAGTCGAGTTTTCAAATTCGGCCACTCTAAATATTTCCTGTTTGATCCTGCTGTTAGAATGAGAATACCAAAAGAAAATAGGAAGGAAAAGTTATGTTGCTGTGACTAGATCTCTTGCAAGTAAAGCTTCACTAAATGAGATATCAACTGGATATCAGATGATAGTTGTTTGATCATTAACAGTTAAGCAGCTGTTATGTCGAGAAACCAACAACTGAAAGAGCCCTGCGACCTTTAATTTCCAAGCTATTGAGCAGTTTTAAGATACGATGTATCTCAACCATTGAGAGCTAGGACACTCATGTGATAAAAAAGTCAGTGACTGAAAAGGTTTTACATTCCTTGCTTTCCAAAGTCCTCAAGTGGTAATTTGAAATACCATGTATTCAATACACTGTCTACAAAATTAAGACACCTGGAGTGAAAAGATATTATACCTAGTACAGTTCTTACAAATGAAAATAGTAACTAGGAACTCGAAAACTTAATTTAAAGAACTTTGAGATCCTTGATTTCTGAGTTGTCGGGTGGTATTTCATAGAGTGATGTAAGCTATATATCATCGTGTTTGGCCCGGCATGGCCAGGTGGTTAGGACGCTCAACACACAATCTGAGAGTCGCGGGTTCGAATCCCCGTCTCACCAAACATACTCGCCCTTTCAGCCGTGGGAGCGTTATAATGTGACGGTCAGTCCCACTATTCGTTGGTAAAAGAGTAGCCCAAGAGTAGGCGGTGGGTGGTGATGACTAGCTGCCTTCCCTCTAGTCTTACACTGCTAAATTAGGGACGGCTAGTGCAGATAGCCCTCGTGTAGCTTTGCGCGAAATTCAAAACAAACAAACAAACGATCATCGTGTTTAACAGTTGATTTACTTCATAATTAGGATGGTCGAGTGATTGAAAAATTAGTAATTTAAAGCAGTGCTTCTCAACTGGGTGAATGGTTCACCCAGGGGTTTTGTACATTTTATGTTGTATTCATTCTAGTTGTAGTTTAATAGATATTTAAGTCATAATAAAGTATTTTGCATTTTAATTGAGTATATTTTTGTCTTTTTTCAAACTGGTGTGAGTCAGCTGTTGTGAAAAACATATAGGGGTTAATGATATTGGAAAAGGTTGAGAAGTACAGATTTAAAGGTTAACGTGGCCCTCGCTTTTTCAGCCACAGAGTGGATTTTTGGATTCGAAATGTCATCTGATCTAGTTGAGTTGTGGAAAATGTATGGAACATGCTGCCCTGTACTCACTAGATTTTCATTTACTTACCTGAGATTTATGTCGATCCTACAAACAATGAGGAGGTTGTGTTTATTGAGGTACGGAAGTACTACAAGAATTTTAATCTTAGAATAGACCTTTAATTAAAAGGTCTTAAATCATGTGACTTTTGTCAGAAAATTTAATTTTGTGAAGCCTTAAATATACATGAGTAGAGTTTGATGACCCTAGATAACGCTACTGTCTCTACTAACAATAGTTTCATAGAGTAACCTGAAAATTATCAAAGTGATTCATTTGGTAGCTAGAGGTGGTCTGTATAAACTACTAGAGCACTTGACAACTAGTGATGGTGGTACATGTGTCAATAAACACACGTGCATGGTCCCACACACACCTATGACTAGTACATAAAGACATTCATAAGTGTTATATAACATGAATTAATCAATTACACAAAAAGCACAACAAAAAAAAACAAAAGTGCAAGGAGACAAAGGACTTGATCTCATTTTTATTGATTGAAGAGTATGAGTTTAACAGTTTGCCACCCTTAATTAAATGTTTGTTTAGAAAACTTAATTGTAAGGAAATGTCATTTTACATAGCACGAAAGATTGATGAGTAAGAGGGAGAGTTAATCCCTGAAGGGAAATGGTTTTATGAGAGAATATCGGATATAGGAGGAGTCCCCTCCTGAATGTTGGACTTTTGCTGATGTTTGGAAGGTACTGACTTTCTTCATTGCAACGTTCGACTCATTAAGGACAGCTTCCAATGTCTGATGCAGATCAGTTGACCATGTTCTTCCCATGAAAATTCGCCTCATTGAGATGGGGAAACAAATAACTGGGAGTTGTCATAATAGTATAGAGCCGGATGAGTCCAAGACTAGATATGGTGGCTTCTATAGGACTCTCAAGCCTTTTCCAGCCAAACAAAAATTTCCAACTCTGACTGAAGCCAAGGGAGAGTAATAGAGAAATACTGGAGGTGTAGATAGTGGACACCGTCTGCCTGGCAGTGAGATAGTGAGCAAGTAATGGTAAGGACTGTGATCCAAAATGTAGTCATGAGTCTCAGTTCGGTGGAAGGTATCCTGCTAGAGTGACTGTAAAGCATGGAGGAACTTGTGATTGAGCTAGATAAATGGACTAACTGCAAAGATCAACTTGTTGTTCTATTACCCTGAATCAGGGATGGGTGACTCATCTGAGGATTGGTGTTCCTAAAGGTGCCTACCACCCTGTACCCACAATTTCGACATTTTAGTCAGGTGTTGTTGAAAGAATGTGAAAGAAAGGCTTATGACTCCCTCACAGGTCCCTGTAAATAAAGCATAACAGACTTCTATCCCAACATTTATTGGTACAGGCAAGGAAGATCGAGACCATTTACTTAATCATTTCATACAGGTTACTGATTGTATTGGAGAGATTCAAGGACAGGCAGTGCACTGCCTGATGCTGTATTTACATGGACAGAATTAACACACTTATCTGGCTGATTGTGGGCCTAGCTGCTCTGGACAGTCCCCTGACAAATAAACCTAATCATCCACAGTTAGGAGAGTTATTTACGTACTATATCATAAGGTTATCACTCAATCATTCACAGGCTGGTTAGTCATGTGGTTTAGAAATCAGTAACTGAAAGGAAGTGAATCCTTACATTCCAAGCTATCAAGTGATTTTCTTTATAGAATGTGTACATTATATTGTGTTGTTTCCATATAATTATAAACAGCTAGGACAATTATATGGTTGAAAAAGCAATTACTGAAAAGAAGTAGTGTTTCTTGCTTTCTGAATTATTGAATGATAAAAGTTGTGTACAGCTAAAGTGATTAGATATAACACCTAGTTCATCAACAATTTGAAGACAGTTACTAGAAGTTCGAAACTGATGGTTGTGGCTCTTACTTTCTGAGACATTGAGCAGAATTTCAATGAGAAGTGTCCACTGGATACTGAGTGATAACTGTATAATCATAAATTAGGATGGTTTAATGATCACGAGATTGACAGGGGCAAAAGGTCATAGCAATCCTTGCTTTCTGGGCTATCAAACAGAGTTTTACAATAAGAGATTTCCCTGAGATATCATGTAATGTCTGATTGATTATTATACACTAGGACAAGTATGTGGTTGTAAAATCAATAGCTGAAAAGATGTTGCAACCCTTACATCCTGAGCTACTGAGCGATTTTTTGAGACAAAATGTCATTAGATGTTGTGAAAGAATAACTTATTTGACCTGAATGGTGAATGTAATGTATAACATAATACATGATCCTTGCTAGGTTTTATCTAGTGCATTTTATTAGTCATTTGCTTAATCTAAATGCGTGGTGGAAGTTCTGTGCAAGATACCACATGATCCATGCTAGATTCTCCTTAGTACATTTTCTTGTGTATGTAACTTGTTGTGTATGCAGTGAATAAGTTGCGTTTCTTCTAAGAGTATGTTGATATGTATACCATATTATCAGCTCAAACTTCAATTTTTGCACTGAAAATTCTATCTGAAATGTGTTAATTGAGCTTAATTGTGCTAGTAATTATTTATTGTGTGATGCCTGCAAAGAAAACCTAAGAATTTGACAACTTGTAGATTGCAGCACATTACAAACTGCAGTTGTTTAAACTTAACTTGTGCCAGGTAACTATAGATGGCTATTTGTGCATGTGCTGGAGGCAGTCTGTTATAATCTACTAGTGTATGTGATAATGTGTAATGGGGATATATCTATATAACAACATATGTGTATAAATGTATGAACATTACATAAAGCTATTCATGAACGTTTTATAAAAGGAATGGATGAACTACCCCAAACACAACTAGTAAGCAACGTGTAAATTGAAATAAAGGATTTGATCTGAATATTTAGACTTTGAAATATGAAAAGTTAACTGTGATTACTGCTCTAAGCAGAGTATTCGAAGATACAGCTATCCTGCTGTTTTTATAAATATTAATAAGAGAATGTTTCAATTTTGACATTGAAATATTTGGTTTGTAGTGAAGTTTCATTGATGGATACTAGTACCAAGAAAACTCATGCTATGTCTGAGAGAAAACACAGTTTAATCTGTTGTCTTTCAGTAAAGGTAGTGCAGGATATTTCAAATGATTTCTATAAAAATATTTATGAGTCAGTGCAATTATCAGAAATGCCTAAAATTCATGGTAAGTATCTTGGTGTACCCAAAGTTTTATTTGGTTATAATGGAATACTTTCAGCCATGAAGACTGAAATATATCATAAGCACACAGTTTTACTGAACATTTTTAAACATTTTTTCAATACATGGGGCAGTCAGAGATTCATGAAAATGCAAACTGTGAGGGTGTTACTGGGTAGAAGAAAGTAACATGCGCATAATGAAATCTTGTAATTGATCTTATATAGCACTAAACTCGTACCTGAAAAAAGTCCGAAGAGAGAGTTGATGTAAGTTGTACTTGATTCTCATGGTCAGAAGTTAAGAGTTAGTGTATGCTAACTTGGGTTATCTAGGTTATGTAGGAACCAGTCTCGATTCCCGTTTCTTCCTTATTAAAACCTGGACTTCTGCTCATGTAACAACCAGACAGTAGTGGGAATAATGAGACTGTATTGGAGGGTACGCTGTGTTATTATTACCACGGGAGTGGTAGCAGTGCAGTTATATGTATTAATCAAGCAGGGATATATTTTTCACAGGTGATAAAGGGCGAGAGAACATCTAAAATCTGTAAAAATGTTCTTTGATCAAGATAAATTTTATTACCCTGTGTCTGAAATCTACTTTTATAACAGGACATGTATATTACTGAAAACTTGCAATACTTATCAATTACACATCTAGCTGAACCTCTGACCAATTGTAATTCCTTACATTTTCCATCTGGACTTTTGCTATAAGAGATCGAATCCTAGACGTTTTCAACTAGGAGGGGTGTTTTCTCACTATAGTGTGCTTAAACCTACAGGTATCCATTAGACTGCATGATGAAAGGATACATATCATTCAATGACATTGAGTAGTACCCTCAAATATGCTGATTTAATCTGATGCTGATGTCATAGAAGATAAAAATGTGAAGGTGAAAGGTGACTAAAGTTGTGGCAACTTCATGCTTTGAACAAGACAAACCATGGACTATTGCTCAAGTTATCAGAAATTACTTCTTTGGTTTGATTTACTATGAGACAATTGAGTAATCATAATATAATCAAACAGGAGTGATGTTTCTACTCAAATGGTAAAAATATAGATGAATTGTGCCTCAATTTTGTGATAGATCTTACTGTTAAAATGATGTATAGTATAACAGACTTATAGCGAATCATGACAAACTAAATCATTGCCATTTATTAAGATGTAATTTAGTTAGTTGTACATGTGCCAGATCTTCCACAGTTTAGTCTACACTAATTCGATGACGAGGAACCCACTTTGAGACTAATAATGGCTGGAGACGGCTTGAATGGGTAATGAAGAAAAACTTCCATATAAGTTTAACATAACAGCATATGTTAAACTTATATTAAAGTTTTTCTTCATTACCCATTCAAGCCGTCTCCAGCCATTATTAGTCTACACTAGTTACTAAGAGATGATGAACAATACAACCACAGAAGTGACGACTAACAACATATTTATTGAACGTCTTGGAATATATACATTCCATCTTCATCAAATTCTGAATATAAACACAAAACTATAATTACCACAATCATAGGCAGAAGTCCAACAGCTCTCTTAAGGTTGGGGAACAGCTGAAAAATTGGCTAAGGATCACTGGCAGTGAAAGGCTCTAGTGCTACTTAATGTACCAGGGGGAATGAAGAAGATAAAACTGTACTGAATAACTGAATAAAGATTTGTAATTCATAATTATTTCAGTCATTACAAGCCTCTTCCTCTTTATATCAAGGGTGGCCTAGTCCTGAACTTTAAAGTTAACATTAATAGCTGAATAAAAAATTAATTACTCGTTGCAAAATGTGGTAATTGTTTCTCTCAAGTGAGATGCACATAATACAAACAATAGATAAAAAGACTAGAATTGTTAACTCATAAAACTTCAGTAATCAGTAAAAAAACTAAATATAATACACCTGAAAAAGAAATTCAAAATAAATAAAAATGCATTCACTTCAAAAATTATAATACACAGTACAAAACAAAATAAAAACTCAAAATACATTAAATCGAGAACATAGTATGGAATTGAAAATAAATAATACTAAAATTAAATCATAAAATAAAATTATAAAACTATTCAATATAATCGAACAGTCACATTACAAAACAAACGTTCAAATTAAAAACATATTACAAATTGAAAACAAACAGTTTAAATAATACAGATAAGATTTCTAAATACTAAACACAATTGAACAGAAAGCATACAATAATTAGATAAAATACAAAATAATCACTACAAACTGAAGACTACAATATATAAATCATTCCATATTGGATCCTGGTGGCTCTCTTTAGTAGTGGTTGTTTTACACGATCTCTTCTGGGGGTTGGATAATCAGTCTTTGAGGCAGACACCTGGGAGACGCTTTACCCATGATGTTACTTTGCATGATGATATGCATTTCTGGTGTATTGGGCAGTTCACTATAGTGCCTTCATGAACACAGTAGATTGTCAAGCAGTTCACAAGATACTTGGCTTCATGAAGAAGTTCAGGTTGTAACGTTCAAGTCAACTCAAAATGTGATAGGTTAGGAGTTCAGTAAACAATAAGGTTAAATGTCATGACAAATGAGACCATGAATTGACTCTTTTTGGAACAATTAGGAACAAATGTAGTGCATTCGCCAATACGACATCAGAATACGTTTGTTCCAAACACTAGTGAATGTACAATCCACAGCTTCTTATCTAACAAAATGCACGCTGTTACCTTGGCAAGATCCATAATTTTGCTGGCTCCTGGCAACAGCCACTAGTTACACAAAGACTGAGCCCAAGTGCGATGTGAAAGTGGTGAATAAAACTGCAAGAAGACAACTTAAACCAGTAATTGGAATTTGGCCAACTTTCTTACAAGCAGCAACCCAAAGCTTTTAACATTAAAGGTTTCTTATATTGTATGTTTAAAGCTCCAAATTGCCTTCTGATACAAGTGAAATGTAACCTGAATAAATAAATAAGTAAAATCATACCTGACTTCACAAAACTTAATATACTTAACATAAAATTTGGCTATAATGAATACCTTGTTTAGAAATAATATCAAGACTAAAAATACTGTAATGACTGAAATGTCTGAAAATAATATGATATACCAACCAAAATTATTTCTGAATCAAAACTTCTCGAAAACGATATGAACACTACGTTTTCTTTAATTTTAAATGCCCAAATTATAATATCATGATTTTACCTTCCAAGACTAAGTTATATAACCTACGAATTTCTCAGTTACCAAAACAGCAAGATATTCCATCACTAAGATTAATGAAAACAGTTGGTATGGGGCAGATTCTCTAATATATCTTTGCCTTTCCTTCAACAAAAATCACGTGCTCATTTTAGTTTGAATCCAAGTCTGAAATACCTTTCCTTGCATTAAGAATACATAAACCACGCCATGTTTTATCTTATTACAATTAAAGCTAATCATTGTGGTTTTACTAAATGTATCCCATCTCAATATTTCAAGTCCAAACTTAATTTACCTAAATATTTTGTACTATTATATATGTTACATTTGTGTACATAACATGCACAGAATTTGGTTTAATATGTGCTATAAAAACATGGAGACTCCATAAGCATTCCTATTTACACATCATATAACAATCACATACATAACAAATTTCTAATATATAACCTCACCAATGAATGGTTCCATAGCTTTCACTTTAAATGACAAGAATTAGTCACTTATTTTATTCGATTTTCAGAAATAGGGCTAAGGTTATACCTGCTGGCACCACTCATTGAGTTAGGATCACCCAACTCAAGCAGTATTATTAAAATAGAGTTAACATATATATATGAACAAGCAAAATATACTATTCTGCTATAAACATCCATCCAGATCACTTTCAATGTCGTGAAGTGCAAAATGAATGTATATACACATATAAAAATGTAGTAGCTAGGCAAAGAATGATAGCAAAATTACTTACAATGTGGTAAAATAGCAATCAACCCAAATCGCCTTGTTTATCCCATCAGCCCTGCCAACTAGAGATCGTCCTAAACCAACTACATCAGATATACATGAAAAATAGCTCAGTCAAAAATCTAGCAAAATGGTACACATTGCATATGATTTTATAGAGTTCATGTTAATTTCTCATACTATATTATAGTACAACCTGTTGATGGCTGAAAGACTGATAAATACGAACCAGACCATCAGGCACAAACTTCAAAGTGCATAACAAAAAGTTGTGCTAACTTGTGTGCAGAATTACAAATTTGCTCAGGAAGTTTCTACAGTATTTACCACAAAACTTAACCTGAATGATCGGAAATCAAGGACTGCAAAGTCCTTTCAGCTTATTTCTAATAACCTCTGCTTATCATTAAATGTTTAATCCAACTTCAACTTTCCACAAGATTTTCATCTCACAAACTAAACTGTCCTAGCTTTAAGCTAGGCGTTTCACGTGGTTTACTCTGCAGAAATTCCACTACAATTCAACTAAATAGATTGAACAATTATTACAAAACGTCAGACCAGCCTTTCCCCACCAAATATTGCTAAATGTCTCAGATAGATTTTGATTTCTCAATCAACCAACTGTCATAATTGTACAATAATCAAGTGTTTATAACAAAATATACTGCATATACATCCTACCATAAAAGAGCGCTTGATATTTCAGAAAGCTAGGAATGTATCTTCCTTTTACTCATTTATTTTACAATTAAAGGACTGTCCTAACTAATGGGAAGTAGTTAATCCCAGTTATGACAATTAGAAGATCATTGTTGGTTTGTTGGCCAATTATCAGATCAGAAAGACTACTCCTCTGCTGATACTTACTCATCTGATTCGTCACAAATAGCTAGTTAAATACAAATATCAGTGTCTTTCTCCTCATCAACTGAGAAAATTTCATATGACACTGTAATCTTGTCATCAGAGTCGACTTGCTTATACAACTCTGATTTCTAGCATAATAAGTTTCAAAGAATTACATTCGTGACACAGATTTTCAGCTT